GGTGCAGTTGGATAACTTGCCTGGAATGAGCCTGATGGCAGGAAAAGCGCTGAGCTCCGCTCGGATGTCCGACGCTGTCCTCAGCCAGTCGTCGCTGATGGCCAGTCAGCAGCTGCGCGACCGGGAGGGTGAGGGTGAGGGTGAGGGCAGAGCCGCGGCAGGGAGGGTGTGGGTGCTGCTGGGCTCTGGACTGGGGACTGAGAGGACCCCCTGGCAGTCTGTGGTGCAAAGCCACCTCCTCCAAGGAGCAGTGGGGAGCACGTGGGCTGCAGGGGAGTGTGTGCTGGTGGAGGGCGGCTCCGTGGGTGCTGCTGTGGGTCAGGGCCTGGGCTGGTGGGAGCGGTGATCCAGGTGAAACACGGGGCAGCTCAGCCTGTGATGTGAGCCTTTGGGCCATGGCAGCCTGCTGGCCCCATCCCCACGCTGGAGCTGGAACTCTGTAGTGCTCCCTGTGCAACCTCTGATGCTGTTCTTTGACCTTACAGAATGCGGGGAGAGTTTGGAAGGTCAAGAGCATCCCAACCTGGGTGATGGCAGCCAGCATCTAAACCCCTCCTGTTCCCCGTCGACGTGTATTACAGACGTGCTACTGAGCTACAAGCACCCGGAGGTGCCCTTCGGGATGGAGCAGGCAGGGGTGTAACCAGGAGGGAGTGAGTATCCCGCTGTCCTCCCCTTCCCAGCTGCACGCCTACGCTTCCCTCGATGGCAGACCCAAAGGCCTGACCCCTTCCCTGACATCTGTGTGTGTATCTCCTTCCCTGGCTCCCAGGGGAGAGACCATCAGCTCCGAGCTTCCACGCTGGTGGCTGCCTGCTGTCCCCTCCCTGCTCGCTCAGGGGTAGCACCCCTCCTGTCCTTCCCCTCCCTGCTGCCCTTCCAGAGCCCCATTCCCTCGGCAGGGTCTCCCTCCTGGGGCGTAGCTCCTGGGTCTGGACTGGGAAGGCGGTGGAGGGAGGGCTGTGGGAGCAGAACTGCCCTTCTCAGTGTCTCCTAACATCAGCTTCTCTCTCTTGCAGGTTTTACGTACGGCTTGGAAACAAAAAGGTCCATTTTAAACCAACAGTATCTAGCAGCATCGCGCCAAATTGCCGTAGTATTTCTGACTAACTGGAATACCATGGCCCCTTTCCTCATAACCAGTTCATCCAGTGTGTTGTTCCTTTGGTTTCTTTAGTTTTTTTGCCATGTTTGCCTGTAACTCCAGCTATCACAGAAATAACCAGAGAACCGGGGTCCTGCACGTGGGCAGAGGATTCCCGGAGCCTGAGTGCTGAGGAGGGATTTTCCCCGGGGGGCTGCTGCTGCCCACTGCCCACCTCCGCTCTCGGGTGGGCCCAGGAGCAGGCGGCTGCGGAGCGGGGGTCCGGTGGGATCCCCAGCAGCTCCTGGAGTCTGTGCTGTCCCTCTGCTCTTCAACCCCTGGCACTGGGGAGGGGCCCGGCAGCGCTGGCGGGGGGTGAGGACGGTGCCAGCCCGGCCCCAGCAGCCTCAGATCGCGTGTCCCACCCCGGGGCTCGGCGGGGAGCCCCCACCCCTGGTGCAATACCCTTCTTGTCTCATCTCTGTCCGCCCCTGTTCCCTCTCTCCGTGGGTTTGTCACGTCAGGGTGCCGAAAGGATCTCCTCTTCCCGGCCCTGCCAACCTTTCCTTTTTGAATCCGCATTTGACTCGGGTTTTAATATTTTCTCTCTCCTGGCTTCATGTAGGGAAGACAGATGATTATTTTTATTTTTTTTCTTTGTTTTCTGAGCTTCTCTTCCTGATCACGTAGGAATAGGAATTGGTTGGGTTGGTTTGTTTTGTTTTTTTTTTGGTAAATGTTGTTTTATTATTATTGTTATTAATAAAAGGCAAAAGGAATTTCTGTTTGAGAGAAATTTTTAACTAGATTCTGTTCTATATGAATTGTGACTTGCACCTTTTTTTTGTTCAAAGTATTTTATTTCTTTTAATGACATTGTACTTGTGACTGGGTTTTCTCTCTCGTGCCAGTGGCGACAGTGCTCTTCTCCTTCATACACTTCAGACTCCTTCTTCCCATCCTTTCCTTGACCATAGAGTGTGAGTCCCCACCCCCAGCCAGGGCTTGGGGGCACTCGGTGTCATCTTCATCATCATCATCATCCTCACCTTTGGGACTTTACAAACTACAACGCAAATTCTTCTTATTGACACTTTTCTGGAATATTTTTTTTTTAATTAAATAAAAACAAAAACAAGGAAGAAGCGCCGCAGCCCTCCCCAATCTGCACAGAAGGAAGCGTGAAACCAGCGTGGCAGAGGGGGCTTCAGCCTCCCCCCAGCCTCCCCTTCTCCCCTGTCCCC